GCCTCTCATCTTCGGCAATCACCCAAAATCCCAAACGCCCCCAGCACCCTTAAATCCAGCAAAACCAGGAGGCCTTGGAAATGGCCTTCGGAACAGGAGCAGGCATTGCAAAATCGACATTTTTTGTGGAGTTCCCTCTATTTCAACGGCTCGCAGCGGCCGGAGAATCCTAGACCCAAAATCCAAAACCCCAAATCCAAAACCCAAAATCCAAAACCCAAAACCCAGAATCCCAAACCCAAGAATCCAAAACCCGAAATCCAGAATCCAAATTCCAAAACCCAAAATCCTAAATCCTACATCCTAAGCGGCCCCCAGCAACTGGAAATCCAGAAAATCCGAGAGGCCTTGGAAATGGCCTGTGGAAAAGGAGCAGGCACTGCAAAATCTACCATTTTGGTGCTTTGGTGGGGTCCCTCCAATTCAAAGGCTTCTTACAAATTCGATGGCCCTGGCGGCCGAAAGCTTGCTACTTCGACGTTTTAAACCCCGAGACGACTGCCGGCAGCGGGAGCCCCAGGTTTCAACGTTCAACACTTCGAGACACTGCCGAGGTCGAGAAGCTCGTTACTTCGACGCTTAAATTCTCCAGACCACTTCCAGCAGCAGGATCCTCAGGCCGAAAGCTTGCTACTTCGACGCTTAAAACCTCCAGACCACTTTAAGACCTCAAGACCATTGCTGGCAGCGGGAGCCTTAGGCCAAAGCCTTGATATTTCGACGTTTAAAGCTTCGAGAACTCTGCCATTTCGATATTCCAAAACCTCGAGACCACTGCCGTCAGCGGAAGCCCGAGGCCAAAACCTTGATACTTCGACGTGTAAAAATTCGAGACCATTGCCGGCAGCGGACGGCTGGCCCAGGCTGAAAGCTTGCTACTTCAGCATTTAAAACCTTCAGACCACTACCGGCAGCGGGAGCCCCAGGCCGAAAGCTTGTTACATCGACGTTTAAAACCTCCAGACCACCTCCGGCAGCGGGAGCCCCAGGCCGAAGGTTTGTTACTGCGACATTTCTCTCCAAGTGGGAGCCCCAAGCCGAACGCTTGATACCTCGACCTTTAAATCCTCGAGACTACTGCCGGTACCGGGAAACCCAAGCCGAAAGCTTGCTCCTTCGACATTGTAGAGCCTCGAGACACCTGCCGGCAGCGGGAGCCGCAGGCCAAAGCCTTGATATTTCGACACTTAAAGCTGACTAGGCTGAAAGCTTGCTACTTCGATTCTTAAGACCTCCAGAGACCCGGTGACCACTACCGGCAGCAGGAGCCCCAGGCCGAAAGCTTGCTACTGCGACGTTTGAAAGCTCCAGACAACTACCGACAGCGAGAGCCCCAAGCCGAAAGCTTGTGATACCTCGACTTGTAAATCCTCGAGGCTACTGCCGGCACCGGGAGCCTCAGGAAGCCACGAGACCACTGCCGACAACAGGAGCCTTAGGCCAAAGCCTTGATAATTCGACGTTTAAAACTCCGAGAACACTGCCGGCACCCGGAGCCTCCTCGAGATCACTGCCGGCAACGGGAGCCCCACGACCGCTAAAGCGTCGAGACCACTGCCGGCAGCGGATGGCTGGCCCAGGCCGAAAGCTTGCGATTTCAATGTTTAAAATAAAGCCTCCAGACCACTACCGGCAGCGGGACGCCCAGGCCGAAAGCTTGATACTTCGAGATTTTAAGTTTAAATCCTCGAGACCACTGCCGGCACCGGCAGCCCCATGCCGAAAGCTTGATACGTCGACGCTGAGACCGAAACTCCAGCGTTTAAAATCCAAAGTTGTTGCCGGAGCTGCCCCAATGTCTGGGCGGTCGGTTTTAGTTGTCTTTCCTGAGTGGAGGTTGTGTGTGTTGCCGCAGGTCTTGGCGCGGTTCTCCCGTATGCGGCGTCTTACTGTTGTCGGTGTTTTGCGCTTTCATGCCCAACAATCTGCTTGGAAAATCAGCAAGACATCGATGTCGCATGCATACGCAGAGATCGTGCGCAAAATTTGTGACATCGTACCAAAAAGTTCACCGAGATGTTCCACGGCGGTTGATCGGATGGCTGGTAGCACGGTGGTTGCAGATCTCCTCATTCTATACACAACCTCGTAGTAAGATGTGCTATCAGACATCAGTGCGCCAGCTGAGTTGCATCCTTCGGATACAACTTTAGTTTCCGCGCGATGTAAAGCCGATCCGGATCTCGCCATCTGTATCGTATTGCTTGCGGTTGTGTTTTGTAACTTTGTATGGCAAAGAAAAATTAAGAAGAGATAACATTGAAAACGCAACGAACCTCGGGTGGGTCGGGCGGGCAGCAAGCCGCCGCGCGTCAGGCTTGGCAGGCCCTATAAACTGTAAACCCTTAAAACCTTAAACCCTAAACCTTAAACCCGATAAACCCCAAGCAGTGGAATCTCGATAGGACAAGAAGCGCCACCAGAACCTCGCCCAAGGCGACCGAAACCAGGTGGGGGGAAGCTCGCGAGCGGTTTAGGGTTCAGGGTTTAGGGTTTTTCAGGTTCGTGAAGGCAGGTTTCTACCTTAACACCCCACAAATCAATTCGGTTGCTTATAACCCCAAAAAAGGAAGAGACGATAGGTAGTTTGCACCCCAAACCGACCCGAGAGGACGGATTCTCGGTCTATGTTCTTGCACGCTTTGGCAAATTCACGCACGCTAGAGTTCTATCCCCTATATAGTTTCAGCCTACATCCGTTTTAGGGTTGAATCGATGTGAGGCGGTGGAACACACCGAGAAAACAGCGCAGCGCTTGCTGGGAATGGTTGGTTACCTTGAAGCACGGGAATGTCGCCGAAGCCTCATCGCACGCTACTTTGGCGGTGCAGGTGAATTGGAGCAGGCTGCTGGGTTCTTGTTCGAAACAATCTTCGTGCCCAAACGATGAATGTTTCAGCCTAGGAAGCATTATGATTGGCTTGCCGGCCAAACTCTGCTTGCTGCAGGGGCTTGACAAATTAGATAATACTATTCCTTAAGGCTCCCTGATACATTTATGTATGATGTGATGCTATCGTATACCCATCCCCAAACTCCATTATAGGGTTCCTCGATTATCCAGGTTATCTGTGGAGGTGGGCCAGCAATGTGCGACATCTGCAAGGCTGCTCGTAGTGGCACAACGTTTCATCACGACAACGTGACGCGTGAAGCACAGATCGCCGCGCAGTTCTTGCGTGCAGTACGCAGCCTCCCCGCGCATGGTGGCTAGGTAGGCCGCTGGTATATATGTTTTGTTTGTTCCTTAGTTAATTATTGTTTCCAAGAGAACCTTGTTATTCTGTTAATTAGAGGGTTTCGAGGGCCAGCCTAGGTGGCAGTCCCATCACCTTGAACACTGTTCGTGATGCCTTGCTCGGTGCCAAACACCAGAAGCTGGCTCGCTGGCAAGACGTGCCCGGATTCGGACTACTGGGCGACAATGGCTGGTCTGACAGGGAAATTCTTCGGCTTCTGCGCCGGCTGGTGATTGAGTCGATCTTGGCAGAGGAGATCACCACGCCAGTGGGAGCGAGCGGCAATGTCACAGTGGCATACTTGATCGAGGGCCATTGCATCAATGCCCTGCTACAAGGCGAAATGGCAGTGTACCTTTGCCGTGACACCAAGCCGCCACAGACCAGCACGACCTCGAAGCGTCGGATTTCTCGCACGGCAACGAACAGCCGGAAGAAGGCTGCTGCGGCGAAAAGTGCAGCTCGAGTCCGTTCACCAGCTGTAGCACAGTCAGCTTCTTCAGCACCATCGCAAGAAGCGGGATTGAATCCACAGCAGCCTGTCTGGCACTCACACCAGCCCCCTGCACACCAGGCCCAGCTGCCCATGCAGAGCATGCAACCAGCTTTTCAACAGCAGCACGTTATGCAGTCACCTCCGCAGCAATATCCACAATTGCGGCAGGCGTACCAGCACCAAAACCAACAGCCGGTGCCGCAACATTGGCAGATTCCGCAATCACAGGGCCAGCCAAATCTTCAGTCTCAGTTCCTGAATCCACAGGCAGCCCCTGTCCTGCAGCAGCAGTTTCAACATGCTCCAGGGCCATATCAACAGCCCGGTGGGCATGTCCCACAATTTCGGCCTCAGTATGAGGAGCTCCCCCAGCCAGGCCACCCCCACAACCACCAACCACTTGGTCGCCAGCTTTCCCAACCCAGCGTAGCTGCGATGCAGTCCCAGTACCTGCAAGCTGCACCGCCGCAAGCCACACATTTGCCGCCGCGACTCCACACCGACATCCTGACACTCGCCTTCAGCAGCTTGAAATCTGTGATTGTTTCGAGAGTGGCATGCTTAGGTCAGTTGTTAGGTTTCTCCAGCATCAGCTGGGATAATGCTCCATGATGTTCTGTGAGGATATATGATGACAGCCCTGACCCCAGAACAGGTAAACCCTAAACCCCTAAATCCAGACCTTAAGCTCACATATCTGACGTGCTTCCCGACAACAGGCCACCGCACGGATCGCAATTGATGCCTCCGCCTGGCCACTGTGGCCCACAAGCCCCTGGGAGCATGATGCCGACCGGTCCATGTATGCAGCAGCCTGTCCACTCTATAACCTTTTGGGGGCATTATGGTCTTTACAATCCTGCATGAACTCCCAGGTTGGTTGGATTTGAAGTTATATAATTTTCATGGTTCCTGCGGTTACTGGGCCGGAAGCCTTCATAGTCGAGCACCAATTGTTTGGATGCGTCTTACGAAGGAACCTCGCACTCCGAGGCAAGAAGCATACAAACACTGCAGTGACGGACGCTAAACCCCAAACCCAGAAGAATTGGCCATTCTACCTTCTGGGCTTCCTGATTGCTATACCCCCCCNNCCCCCCCCCCCCCCCCACAACAAAAATAATTAGTCTGATCAGTAAAGCTCTTATTCTACAGGAACCCTTTCAGGAATCTGTCAAAAACCCTGAACGGGTCTCTGCCAAGGCCACAGCATTGTTCTCCGATGTTGCCGCCGGCTGGCTTGAATCATTGCCAGCCATGGCCTTGGAACATAGAACGCCACGGTGTGGACACACATGCACGCACGTGCGCATGCATGACTGCATAGTGCAATATCAATCTCTCTCTCTCTCTCTC